GAATTTTATTATTTATTTTTAGAACTTAATATGGATTTTATTTTAGAAAGTTCAATAGCAAAGACATTATACATGATTCCTTTCAATATGGATTGCATTTCCTGTAGAAATGACATTTGCATTTCAATATAGCCCTCAAATCAGTTTATAAAGCTGTAGGTGAATGTTGTGGTTGTTGCTGAAAAAAAGAAACCAATCATTTCTCAGAGGCTTGCAATTATCTTATGAGACAAAAATACTATTTTGCTCTTATCAAATAAAACTCACAAAAATACAATAAAGTGATACAATTAAAAGGAGTAGTAATTTTCTCATCTCAAAAAAAGCTTCATGGAAGACAGAGTTTTAATTAACTTTTTTTGATTCATTTACAATTTTTATTTTTTCATGTTAATTAATTAGTTTGTGTGTGTGTGTATGTGTGTGTGTGTGTGTGTGTGTGTGTGTGTGTTATGCATGTACCAAGGGGCATGTGTGGAGGTCAGAGGACAACTTGTGTAGTTTGGTTCTCTCCTTATACCATGTGGGACCTTGGATGGAATTTAGGTCATCAGTTTGGTTGCAGGGCCTTAATCCGCTGAGCCATCACACCGGCCCTGGCTTCATTCTAAGTGTACTAATTTCTTTACATTTCCAAACATGTGCCAGCACATTAAAAGTATAAAATACATAGAGGAGAGGAAATGTGTTGACAGCCACAGGAATGTGCTCAATACCACGACTCAAAAAATTCAAATTGTAATTTCTTGCATATTAAAATAGTAAGCTTTTAAACTGAAATGGTAATATCCAATCCTTCTTGGAATACTTAATGCTGCATTCGCTGTCAGGAAGACTAGAACTTGATAATGCTGCTTTGTGAGCCAAGTTAACTTTTTATAGCAAGAGCTACTAAATCTCTTCTCCTTATTGAACTCTAGCGCAAAAAATAAGGCCAAGATTTTTAAAATATAATTTTTGTATGAAGATAATCTTTATAATAAGGAAGTAGTGAGAATTGGGAATTTGGACTTAAGTGTTTACTATTAAGAAGTTAAATAAGTTGTGATATGTTTACTTGAATGTTATGATAGTAACTAACATGTCTACGCAAGCTTTGTCATGGTGATAGTTACTAACATGATGTCTCCACCAGCTTTGTCATGATAGTCACTAGCGTGGTCACTGGGCTTGTCATGATTCTACACGTATATCATGTCATAAGAGATTTTATTCTGTTTAGTGCAAAAACATACAGAAAAATTACATTTATAGAACAAGAGCAGTAATGTTAAAATTTCTCAGCCGTTAAGAGCACTGACTGCTTTTGCAGAGGACCTGGGTTTGATTCCTAGCACCTACATGGTGGCCATGAACCATCCTTAACTCCAGTTCCAGGGGACTCCGAAGTCCTCTTCTGACCTCCACAGCATTGCACGACATGGGTGCACTCACATACATGCAGGCAATATACTCATACACATAAAATTAAAAAGTATTAAATTAAAAA